GCTGAATGAAGACATTACCATGATGCTAACTAAATCAGTTTATAATTAGCTGACAATAACCCCAAATCGTATGCTGACTCTAACCTTAACCATAATGCTGACTGTAACCCTAAACCAAATTCTGATTATAACCCGAATGCAGACTATAACCCTAACCTTAATGCTGACTTTAACCCTAACCCTAATGCTGACTGTAACCCTACCCTAACGCTGACAGTAACCCTAATCCTAAAGCTGACTGTAACCTTTACTCAAATGCAGACTACACCCCTAACCCTATTGCTGACTGTCATTCTTACCCTAATGGTGGCTTAATCACCTTATCGTTATGCTGACTATAACACTAACACTTATGTTGACTGTAAACTTAACCATTATGCTGGCTAGTTCATCTTATCATTATGCTGACTGTAACCCTAATCCTTATTCTGACTGAAACCCTAACCCTTATTCTGACTGTAACCCTACTCTGATGCTGACCGTAACTGTAACCCTAAAGTTGACTGTAACCAACACTCAAATTCTGACTGAAAACCTAACCCTAATGAGGACTGTAACCCTAACCCATATGCTGTCTAAAGCATCTTATCATTATGTTGACAGTAGCCCTAACCCTTATGTTGACTGTGTCTCTCACCTTAATACTGACAGTAACCCTAATACTAATGTTGACTGTAACCCTAACCGTAATGCTGAAAGTAATCGTAACCATGACGCTAACTATTTAACTCACTTTAATGCTGCATGTAACTCTAACTCTAATACTGACTGTAATACTTACCATTATGCTGACCGGAACTCTAACCCTGATGCTGACTGTAATTCTTACCATTATGCAGACAGTAACCCTAACTCTTATGCTGACTGTAATACTTACCATTTTGCTCACATTATCTCTTATTCTAATGCTTACTGTGACCCGTACTCGAATGCTGACAGTAACCCTAACCCAAATTCAGACTATAACCTAATTCTAATACTGACTATAACCCTAACCCTCATGCTGACTGTTACCCTGCCCTAATGCTGACAGTATTCCTAACTCTATTCCTGGCTGTACCTCTTACTCAGATGCTCACTGTAACCCTTACTCAAATGCTGACTGTAACCCTTACCCAAACGCTTGTAAAATCATCTTATCAGTGAAGCTGACAGTAATCCTAACCCTAATGCTGACTGTAACCTTAAACCATTATGCTAACAGTAACCCTAACCTTAATGCTGAATGTAGACATTACCATAATGCTAACTAAATCAGTTTATAAATAGCTGACACGAACCCTTACCTGTATGCTGACTCTAATCCTAACCTTAATGTTGACTGTAACCCTAAACCAAATTCTGATTGTAACCTTAATTGAGACTGTAACCCTAACCCTATTGCTGACTGTAATACCAACCCTAATGCTTGCTGTAAAATTAAACCTAATGCTGTAAAATTAACCCTAATGCTGCATAATTCTTCCTAGGATTATGCTGACTGTAACCCTAACCCTAATGCCCACTGTAACTCTAACCCTTATAAAAACTAAAACATCTTATCATTATGCTGACAGTAGCCCTAACCCTTATGCTGACTGCAACCCTAACTCTAATGCGGACTGTTACCCTAACCCTTATGCTGACTGTAACCCTAACCCTTATGCTGACTGTAACCCTAACACTAATGCTTACTATAACTGTTACCCTAAAGTTGACTTTAACCCTAACCCTAATTCTTACTTAAACCCTAACCCTAATGCTGACAGTAACCCTAACCCTAATGCTGACTATAACCTTAACCAAAATTCTGACCTTAACCCTAACCCTAATGCTAACTGTAACCCTTCCCTAACCCTGACAGTAACCCTACTCCTAAAGCTGAATGTAAACCTTACTCAAATGCAGACTATACCCCTAACCCTAATGCTGACTGTAATCCTAACTTTAATGCTGACTGTAATCCTAACCCTAATGCTAACTATAACCTTTACCCTAATGCTTACAGTAACCCTAATCCTATACTGACTAAAACCCTTACCCAAATTCTGACTGTAACCCTAACCCGAATGCAGACTATAACCCTAACCTAAATGCTGACTGTAACCCTACCCTAACGCTGACTGTAACCCTTATCCTCAAGCTGACTGTAACCCTTACATAAATGCAGACTGTACCCCTAACCCTATTGCTGACTGTCATCCTTACCCTAATGCTGGCTTAATCACCTTATCGTTATGCTGACTTTAACACTAACACTTATGCTGACTGTAACCCTAACCCTTATTCTGACTGTAACCCTAACCCTTATTCTGACTGTAACCCTACTCTGATGCTGACAGTAACTGTAACCCTAAAGTTGACTGTAACCAAAACTCAAACTCTGACTGTAAACTTAACCCTTATGTAGACTGTAATCCTCACCCTTATGCTGACTAAAGCATCTTATCATTATGCTGACAGTAGCCCTAACACTTATGTTGACTGTTTCTCTCACCTCAATACTGATACAGTACTTGCAACCTTAGGCGTTACTTTTTGACGTGAACTTGACTGATCGGTGAATGATCGGTGACGGATGTTTGACTGATCGAAGACTGATCGGTGATCGATGACCCATAGAATCCGTCAGATACGTCAAATAGGCTATGTGAGAGTTACCGTGACAACGGTCAGCGATCGATCAGTAAATTAATTGTATGCACGGATCGGACGGATACGTATATAATTAAAATACTTATGTAAAACGAACTCAACAGTATTTACAGTCGATAAACGCGGACCTCTACGAAGACACCTTTACTCGTTAATTATGTACCACTAAAAAGCGATAAAATGTTATCATTTAAAATAAGTACTCTATTTGTTGTCGTTAGATGATGAAAATGAAAATAGTAAAACAGTAAAGATACATACAGCTTTGTTTGGATTATTTAATTTAGAGTGTTGTTTTAATTTTTGTTCTAGATTACCAATATTTCTTCTTCTTATAACATATAATGCAATTTTATTTCTGATTAGTCATTTAAAAGGCCTCAAGAAAAGTTTCTTTGGTAGAATTTAAAAAAAATAAGTATTAAAATACTTAAACTTTAATTTGTGTTGATTAAAGATGCAATCATTTCATTATTTTGTACTTTTTGTACATCAGGATTAGTAGTTTTTCATAAAATAGGCTGAATTTCAGGAAAAAGATACTAAATTTTTGTTCGAGTTGCTTAAAAATGCAAATATTTCTTCTTTTATATCAGAAATAATGCACATCAATAGCAATCAGTCATAATTAATGCATTCAGATAATTAATTTTGTATAAGATATGAATAATTTAAGGATAAATATACATACACTTTTGTTTTTATTAAAAAGGAATTCAATAATTTCTCTTTTTTAATGGATATTATTGGAACGCCTATGGTTTTTTTGTACTTTTTATGGTTCAGGATTGGTTGTTTTTTATAAAAGCAAAATAATATCTGAGAAAATATACTAAAATGTTGTTTGCATTGTTTAAAATTACCAATTTTTCTTGATAAAAAATAATGCAATGTTATTTGTAACAAGTTATTTCAAAGTTCTCCAATAAGATTTTTTTTGTAAGAATTTTGATAATGTAAGGAGAATTTTACTTAAACTTTTATTTTGTGTTGAATACAAATTAAATAAATTCTTTATTTTGATAGAAATTATGAACCGTCATTTGATTTCGGTACATTTTGTACATCAGGATTGGTTGTTTTTCATAAAATATGCTGAATTTCAGGGAAAAGATACTAAATTTTTGTTCGTGTTGCTTAAATATGCAAATATTTCTTCTTTTATATCAGAAATAATTCAACGTCAATAGCAATCAGTCATAAGTAATGCATTCAGATAAGTACTTTTATATAAGATATGAATAATTGAAGGATAAAATGCATAAACTTTTGTTTTTGTTAGATAAGAAAGCAATAATTTCTTAATTTTGATAGAAATTAGTAACCATCATTTGATTTTGGTTCTTTTTGTACATCAGGATTGGTTGTTTTTCATAAAATATTCTGAATTTCAGGGAAAAGATACTAAATTTTTGTTCGTGTTGCTTGAAAATGTAAATATGTCTTCTTTTGTATCAGAAATAATTCAACGTCAATTGCAATCAGTCAAAACTAATGCATTCAGATAAGTTCTTTTGTATAAGATATGAATAATTTACTGATAAATATACATAAACTTTTGTTTTTGTTTGATAACATACCAAAATTCCTCTATTTCAATTTAAATTATTGACTACCTATGGCTTTTTGTACTTTTTATGGTTTAGGATTGGTTGTTTTTATAAAATCAAAATAATATCTGAGAAAATATACTAAAATGTTGTTCACATTGATTAAAATTACCAATTTTTCTTCTTTTGATAAAAAATAATGCAATGTTATTTGTAACTTGTTATTTCAAAGTCCTCCAATAAGATTTTTTTTGTAAGAATTTTGATAATGTAAGGAGAATAATACTTAAACTTTTGTTTTGTGTTGAATACGAATGCAATAATGTCTTTATATTAATAGAAATTATGAACCGTCATTTGATTTCGGTAGATTTTGTACATCATGATTGGTTGTTTTTCATTAAATATGCTGAATTTCAGGGAAAAGATACTAAATTTTTGTTCACATTGCTTAAATATGCAATTATTTCTTCTTTTATATCAGAAAAAATGCAACTTCAATTGCAATCAGTCATTATAAATGCCTTTAGATAAGTAATTTTGTATAAATGTGAATCATTGAAGGATAAATATGCATAAACTTTTGTTTTTGTTAGATAAGAATGCAATAATTTCTTTATTTTGATAGAAATTATGAACCGTCATTTGATTTTGGTTCTTTTTGTACATCAGGATTAGTTTTTTTTATTCATAAAATATGCTGAATTTCAGGGAAAAGATACTAAATTTGTGTTCGTGTTGCTTAAAAATGCAAATATTTCTTCTTTTATATCAGAAATAATTCAACGTCAATTGCAATCAGTCATAAGTAATGCATTCAGATAAGTACTTTTATATTAGATATGAATAATTTAAGGATAAATATACATAAACTTTTGTTTTTTTTAAATAAGAATTCAATAATTTCTCTTTTTTAATGGAAATTATTGAACGCCTATGGCTTTTCGTAGTTTTTATGGTTCAGGATTTGTTGTATTTCATAAAATATGTTGAATTTAAGGGAAAAGATTCTAAATATAATGTTTGCATTGCTTAAAAATACAAATATTTCTTCTTTTATATCAGAAATAATGCAACATCAATTGTTATCAGTCATTATAAATGCCTTTAGATAAGTAATTTTGTATAAAATGTGAATCATTGAAGGATAAATATGCATAACCCTTCCCTAGATTTTCCATCAAACATGATGGAATTTTGTGATGGAAAAAATGCCATCAAATTCCATCATGTTGATGGAATATTGGAACATCTTTCCATCAACTTTCCATCAATGCTGGAAAATGGTTGATGGAAATTGTTTGATGGAATTTGTGTTCATGATGATGGAAAATTGATGGCATAATTTCCATCTGATAGATAATTGATAGTATTTTTGCCATCTGATGAAAAACTGATAGTAATTTTGCTATCAGATGGAAAACTGATGGAACATTTTCCATAAAATGGAAAACCAATGGAATATTTTCCATTACATGTAAAATGCATGGAAACTTGATGGAGAATTGACAATCAGATGGAATTTGATGGATAAGTAAGGAGAATGTTTTTAGAAAATCTTTCCATATATGGCATTTTCTGTGATTTAATAAAACAATATTTGTTCTCTGTCGTCTATAGGCAGTCCTGTTACATGTGTATCTTTTAGTTCACAGTGTCCCATTGAACTCGCTGTCCTTAAAGTTGAATTTGTTGATATCAAATTCTGCAAAATAAAAGTAAAAGAATCTAGCATATAAAAGAATAAGTTAACATGATATTTAAAGTTAACTAAATTTTGCTTTTAGAACCGGTCAGAGCAGTCATAAAATCTGTCGAAGATTAACTTTTACCAGTCAAAATGACTGGTTATCAAGTTAACCTGCTGTACAGGTTAAAACTAGTGATGTCAACGAGAGCTCAAGTACTCGAGTATCCGAGTATCGCTCGGTAGTACCGAGTATCGAATACCAACATGATACTCGAGTAATCGGTTTCCTGTTAGAATGGTGTTGCCGTCTTAAAGAAAAAACAATATTTTGAATAAGAGCATCTCCCGAGAAATAATTTTTCAAAATAAGAACAAATTCGTTCGCGGCACCCTGCGTCGGCTCTCAGAAAATGGCTAAATGGATCAGTAAGTTCAAAATGACTAGTTATATAGTTAACCTGCTGTACAGGTTAAAACTAGGAATGCCAACGAGTACTCGAGTACTCGAGTATTGCTCGGTTGTAACGATCTTCGAATACCAACATGATACTCGAGTAATCGGTTTCCTGTCAGAATGGTATTGTCGTCTTAAAGAAAAAACAATATTTTAAATAAGAGCACCTCCCGAGAAATATTTTTTTCAAAATAAGAACAAATTCGTTCGCGGCACCCTGTGTCGGCTCTCAGGGAATGGCTAATTAATCAGTAAGTTCTAATCATCACCCCTTCGTTGATCATTAAATTTGTTTCTTTACGATTCCCAAATACTGTTGTTTGACTAATCATTTTCTATAGATATAAAAAAGATGTGGTATGATTGCCAATGAGACAACTCTCCACAAGAGACAAAATGACACAGACATTAACAGCTATAGGTCACCGTACGGTCTTCGACAATGAGCAAAGCCCATACCGCATAGTCAGCTATAAAAGGCCACGAAATGACAAATGTAAAACAATTCAAACGAGAAAACTAACGGCCTAGTTAATGAACAAAAAAATGAACGAAAAACAAATATATAACACAGCAACAAACGACAACCACTGAATTACAGGCTCCTGACTTGGGACAGCCATATTTATACAGAACGTGGCGGGGTTAAACATGTTAGCGGGATCCCAACCCTCCCCTAACATGGGACAGTGGTGTAACAGTACAACATAATAATGAACTATAAAAATCAGTTGAAAAAGGCTTAACTCATTAGATGGATGAATAGAAATACATATAACAAAAACATAGAGTGGACGTGGCTGAGTACTTGTACATCCCAACAACAAAAAGACACTAAGTACAGATCTGTATGTACTCGCAGTTACTGACAGCTAGTTCAAAGCCAATAGCAACTAACAAAAAAGTCATGCATCTAAGACTAAATTAGCTATCAGTGTACATCCAACATCCAATGGATTTAGTGTAAAGACGTCATAAACAGTCAGAGACAAAAAAACATGACCTTTTGCAATGCCAAGATACAGGAATCGACAGATTGTAGATCCATGAAAGTGCATATGTATATAACAATAATATTTAGTTTGCTTTTAATTTACTGATAACAAAATCAATATTAATACCAATTAAAACAATATTCAAAGATCTAATGACAGTGTTGAGTTGGTAACTTTTTAGAATAAGTTTATTTAAAGGATCGATAAGTTTACCAGGATCGTTTCTAAATTTCCGGGCACGGTAAACAGCACCTCCGTAAAAATGAGGATGTGCTATCCCGTTTGAAATAAGTTTTCTACAGGTACAACCAAACTTCGATACCAAATCTTTATATCTATGGAAGAGTTAAGTGAAAGTTTTAAGTAATTTGTGGTAACGAAATCCCTGAATTAATAATTTACCAGTAATTAGATATAAGAAGATGTGGTATGAGTGCCAATGAGACAACTCTCCATCCAAGTCAAAATTTATAAAAGAAAACCATTATAGGTCAAAGTACGGTCTTCAACACGGAGCCTTGGCTCACACCGAACAGCAAGCTATCAAGGGCCCCAAAAATTACTAGTGTAAAACCATTCAAACGGGAAAACCAACGGTCTAATCTATATAAAAAAACGAGAACGAGAAACACTTATGAACCACATCAACAAACGACAACTACTGAACATCAGATTCCTGACTTAGGACAGGTGCAAAAAAATGCAGCGGGTTTAAACGTTTTAATGGTACCAAACCTTCACCCTTTTTCTGAAACAATAGTGTAACATCAAAACATAGAAAGACACACTATAAAATATCAATTGAAATAGCTTAACTCAATCAAAGGAAATTTTTTACACCAGTGAACATACACTGAACAAATAAATTTGACCTATGATACAATGTAAATACAAAATAAATAAACTAAGGGAAGAATAATAAAAGAAACATGTTATACCGCTATGAAATGTTAAACAATTTAAGAAAAAAAATATGCTCGAACAAAAATATCAACCATTTGCAATAACTTTTAACACAGGTAAATGAAAACAATTTTGTTGTTAGGTATACGTGTACAGTTCAAATAGAGAAAGGAAATATTTTTTACAAAATAAATAATTTTGATGTTCATAGTACGAATTGAAAATGTATAGTAATACCAAACACTTATCAAAGCTGGAATATAGACCAGATATAACCCTGAATAACATTAAATAACAAAAAAGCATTACAATTAGTATCAACAAGTCAAATAAACAAGAAAGTACGATTTGAGAGTACTCGCAGTTACTGACAGCTAGTTAAAAGCCAAAAACAATTAATAATAAAAAAAACATGCATCAGGGATTTAGTATTTTAACGTCATGGACAGTCAAAGAAGACATGACTTTTGCAATGCCAAAAATAAATGTATCGACAGGCAGTAGGATAGTTAGGAGTTTACCCTCTTTATCGATCAAATTGAACGTGGGTGTGTCTTTATACATCCCTTTTGAAAAGAATACAAATTTAGTCATGTTTTAATTTGCTGATGACAAAATCGATATTTGTGCCAATGTAAACTATATTCAAAGATCTAATTACAACATTGGTGAGATAACCTTTACTAATAAGTTTGTTTAAAGGTTCGATGAGTTTACACAGATCACATAGTGATTTCTGCGCTTATAGTACAATATTTCCGTAAAATTTAGGATGTGAAATACCGTTATTAATCAGTTTTCTACAGATACAGCCAAATTTACTAATCAAATCTTTGTATCTATGAAAAAATTTAGTTAAAGTTTTACGTAATTTATGGTAACGAAATCCCTGACTTAATAATTTACCAGTGATGCATTGATTACGTTCGTTAAAATCTATGACATCACTACACACACGGGCATAACGAACGAGTTGGGATATATAAACACCGTATGATGGAGCCAAAGGAACATCGCCGTCTAAAAAAGGAAAAATTAACAATAGGGAATGAAAAGTCGTCTCTTTTGTCGTATATTTTCGTATGGAGTTTTCCTTTAGAGATTGAAATGTCCGGATCTAGAAAAGGACAACTACTGTTGTTTATGTTAGATTTAGTTAAACGTAAGTTCTATTGGGTAAATTTCGGTAGTATATTTAGAGAACTCTGGATTATTTAACAAACAAATATCATCTAGATAACGGAAGGTATTGTTGAATGTATCAACCAAATGTAACAATGACGTGTCTTTACTGAGTTTGGTCATAAACTGAGGTTCATAGCAATACAGGAATAAATCTGCTTTTAAAGGGGCGCAGTTAGTGCCCATAGGAATACCTACTACTTGTCGATACACTTTATCGCCGAAACGTACATATATATTGTCTAGGAGAAAATTTAAAGCTTTAATCATATCTTCACATTTCCAGTAAGTGTATCTAGCATACTTTCCTTTTTCGTTACAGAAAAAGGCTTTAAACGAGTAACAGCAAATAAATTTGTAATTAGATTTTTCAAAAGACTATTTAATTAAATATGAAAAATTTTTCTTGATAAGATTGTGTGGAAGTGTAGTATAGAGAGTAGAAAAATAATAACTGTCAACAGAATTAAAAGGATCATCAAAAGCATGTATTTTATCCAAAACCTCTAAAGAATTTTTAACACTCCAAAAATAATTAATACCAATTATTTTCATAAGCTTTATTACAAAAGTTAATAACAAGTTCTTTGATAGTAGTAAGGGAGGTAGTTAGAAGCACTGATAGATTGGTAGAAGAACACTTACTAGATGCGGAGATGAAACGGAATTTAAATGGTTTTTTGTGCAATTTATGTAATCAGTACATAGTAGGGACTTTCAAATGTTCGGAAGAGGCTTTAAGCTGGGTAGTGGCAGTGATATGCTTGTTTACAATTTGACTCTGTGTGGAGCGTACGGACCTGAATGTAGATGAATTTTTTATTTCGTTTTGGAGAACTTCCGTGTAGTAAGTGCATCACACCACCACCACATTATTGGCTGCTTTGTCTGCCGGTACGAACACAAACCGCTTTGTCAGTACCTGGAGTTAATTTTTCATTCTAGAAATGGGTATACTATGAACCATATTATTAATTTCAGAATTATTTTCAAAATGAGATATACGAATATTAACAGTATTCATAATTTTATTCAAATAACTGTCTAAAGATTTTTTATCAGATTTTTCATGTTTACAACAAGTTTTAAAGTAGACAGACAGAGCGTCTTTAATGACCTGACGACACTGTTTCCAATCTATTTTAGATGGAGGACAATATTTCGATCCTTTCTTAATAAAAGCTATGACCTCACGGTCTTCGACGATGTTGAGGTCTCCTGTAAGAACATGACCATAGGGAACATATCTAAAACTAGATGTTTCACAATCTCAAGTGGAAGGAACACTTTTCTATATTGCCGTCTGATGTAACTGACATATAATTAAGAATCAAACTTCTGCTGGGGTTTTTATAAGAATACGAAATAATAGGTGGTTCTATATTATCAAAATATGGTGGTATTTGGCTTTGGATGGTAGAGTCATTGAATATACTAGATAAGTTAATAAAATCAATACCACTATTTATATATTTTAATTTAAGAAAATGTCGTTTATGATTTTTAGGTTTATCGATACAAGGAAATAGCCTATGATGACAAAAGGCTGTAATACTATGGGTGTATTCATACATTGGGCTAAAAAAGAAATTTTATCACACTCCAGAAAAATAGCATATAATTTACTTATTGGTATCTGACCCAGTTTGCATAATACTTGATGCATAATACTTATACATAGATTACGTTCGTTAAAATTAATTAACTGATTAGATTATTACCAGTTTACATAATTAGTACATGTAGTAAATAAGCTATTAGTTATGGTATAAAATTCCTGGGACTATAATCTAGGCTTAGGTAATAACGTTGAGGGTTTTAATTCTATAAGACAACTACACATAATACAAAAAATGGGTAAAGTTTTGTTTTTCCATTTTGTAGATGTTTTTTGCGAGCAGGTACTCGATTAGTAAATATTCACTGAGTTGACATCGCTACTTTAAACTGATTCCATCTGTAGTCCAGAGCTTGTACATGTATATCCTATCTTGATTTCTTTTAGATAGGGTTGCATCATACAACCAATCTATTCAAACCAAGGATTCCAAGTTGTATAGTTCAAGTCATCCTTTAGAAAACTTTAAGCAGGGCATAACAATTTAATTGAACACTATGAAGTGTCTGAGTAAGAGATGAAGACGGATTTTTCAAATTATCGTAACCACAATCCCAGCCTCTTTTCCTGTGATCTTACATTACCGAGTTAGACTTTTCACCAAAAGTGAACTTACACGACACCCAATTGGTGCTACCAGTGAAGCAGCAACTGTTTACCTTTCAGGAGCACCTGAAATCAACCCGGTTGTTCGTTGGGATCTTGTTGCTTAGTCTCTAGTTTTCAATGTAGTGATTTGTAGACTGTTGTGTGTTCTTTATGTCGTTTTTTTCCTATGACTGTTTGTTTGTATTCGACCTATCAGTTTAAACATCACTTTGTTATCTTCCGTCACTTTTTATTTCTTCAGATATTGGGTTCTATTTGTGTGTTGATAGTTGTAAAATTAGTAATTATCTATGAACTAGTTTTGCAAAGTAAATAATGACTTCAGTGGTTGTCGTTTGCTGTTTTATATTATATTTGTTTTTCGCTTATTGTTTTGTACATAAATCAGGCTGTTACTTTTCTCTTTGAATTGTTTAACATTTTTCATCTCAGGGTCGTTTTAAGCTTACCATTCGGTATGGGTATTGCTCATTGTTGAAGGCCTACGGTGACCTCTAGTTATTTACTTCTACGTCATTTGGTATCTTGTAAAAAGTTGTCTCATTGGCTATCATACCACGTCTTTTTTATTTTCTTATTGTTTAATAAAGTTTTATTTTGATTAAATAACATTGTATATGAAAATAAAGTAATTGGCTGTTTTCAAATTACAAGCACATTTGATATTGGCATAGTTTTATGAAATATAATATACTTTTTCTTGCAAATATTGCCGCAAATTGCTTTACATATGATGTTCATTGTCCATCCAATTCATTATTTTATTCACCATAGTATTATGAACAGTTCAATGCGAGATAAAGCTTTACATACACTAACTTATGATAAATAATATAGATTCAAAGTGTGAGACAAAATTCGATAAAATTTATGTTTAGATAGAGCCGATAAGAGAGAAATTTTAAAAATATATTTTATAGTAACAACGAATATAAATCATCAGCTGTTACAATATATCATAAGTCAGCATTACCGATTTGGGGTCGCCTGATGCAATCATAGACTCTGTATCTTTTCTGTATAGACAATCCTGATAACAAATAAAGTACGTACCCTCTTTCCTTAATTTAGATCTAAATCTGTTTTTTTTTAGTAAACATTGCACTACATCGGACTGTCCATATCTAGCAGCTAAGTGTAAGGCATTATCACCTATCTGAAATTAAAAGATTGCAGTTTTCAAAGCATGTATACAAAAAATGTACGACTTTATCCTGCATGATATTTTAAAGATAGTGTTAATATGGGAAACTAAATAAAATTTAGCCAACAACGATGTCAACTTATGAATTTACTGACCGTTTTTGATAAATCCTTATTCTTACAAATTTTGATTTTTATTAAACAGCTAATGAACGTACACCATGCTCTGTCCATGAGGTTTAAATTATCCAAAACAAACAGGGATCTTTATTGAAAAAAAATTTAATTAAGTCTGCAATTTTACAACTTATCCAATAATGTCTTGGTACATCGGATTGATTTCTTCCGTTAAAAACATTATAAGTTTTTAAACTAATAGATTGTTAATTTTATTCCAGAAATCATAATGGTTACATAGTAATTATTTTTCATGATACAGCTTTGTAGGATAAACCGGTCTATTCGTTGAAGATTTTTTTGTATGCAGCGAAAGATCGGTTATACTAGTTTCAGTTCATATGACGTAAATCGGTATTAACTGTTATTTTGAAATGGGACTCCTAGCGTACAGTGCAGATCAAGCATACATTAAAAAAATGCACACAGTACACCTGCAATTTATATAAACGCCTCGTTTACTCAGCATTTACTTAAACTTTCCGTAGATATAGAAAGTAAACATGACAAATGCGCATTCACTTTCATGTTTCCATCCGTGTTATAATGGAAAATGCGCGTGTTTTCCTGTATTTACAGAAACCGCGCGTTAACGCAGTTTGTGGTGACATCAATGATACGATGATTATTTATCATGTGTATCTCATGATCAGCAAAGATAAAATCTAAAGATATTCATTTTGACTTAATGTGCAAGTCGTTGTCGTTATCAACACATTTGATACATTAGGATGCATTATTTTACACAGAATGTCAGCAAATTAAATCAATGATTGCTAAAGTTGTTCTAGTCATTTGATAAGGAGACCGGTTTATCTTCTTTGTATAGAAAACTATATATGTGTATTCGAAATCAATAATTTTGGTACATCAGGATTGACTGTTCTAAATACAACATGAACATTATAAGTCTACAGGTTATAACATCTGTGTCGACATGAACAAAACTTTCAAATAGTTCTTCTGTTTATTCGTTACTAAATGCCAGTATTTTAATTCAGTATTTTAGGTAGCTCAGGATGGTTTCGTAAATTGAGATATAATAATAAAAAAAAAAGATAAGTCCCAAGTTGGTCAAAACAGTGTCGTCATTTGATAAAAATGCTCTGATTTGGTCTTTTTATTGAAAATAATATTTTTGTATTAGTCAACATTATCAAAAGTACATCGAGATGTATTGTTTATCATAAAATGTGAGCAGTATAAGTTATCGTGTTATAACATTCTTGTCGTGAAAGAACTCTAAATATATCTTCTCTTTATTTCAAATTAATCAATACAAAAAAGTCATGTTTGTAATAAGACATCTGCATATCAGTATTTTTGAAATTGCAAATTATTATTTTATGTTATTTAAATGTTAAACATTTAATAATAAAATGCTTTCGCAGGATATATTTATATCTTTTTAATACAGAATATCAAAAAGATTTCTGTCACTTACTCAATTGGTTTACTGCCCTTTGTATTGTGAAGTACAATATATTATTTCTGTAATTATTTTATGGCAAGTTTTCTTAATAAGTTGTTTTGATTAATCATAGAGTATTTTAGTTTATTGTTGTAGTGTAGAGAATTGTTTCATTGCGGAAATTATCAAAACTCCTTGGGAACTCATCTCCAAAATAAAAGTCAAAAGGTCATTTGTAATTTGTCATTTGGTTGACCGTTATGAAATATCCGTTTCACAGATGATAGCGGATATGTTCCAAAGGTCGTAACTACAATTCCATCCCCTTTCCCCCGAATGTGACCTTCCGAATTAGACTTATTCCCGGGTTTATACTAACACCAGCAACATAACGGGTGCAAAATGTGGTGCAGAATCTGATTACCCTTCCGGATCACCTGAGGTCACCCCCAGTTATTTTGTGGGGTTTGTGTTGATCAGTCTTTAGTTTTCTATGTTGTGTTTTGTGTACTATTATTTGACTGTTAGTCTTTTTCTTTTTTAACCATGGCGTTGTCAGTTTATTTTCGACTTATGAGTTTGAATGACCTTTTGGTATCTTCCGCCTCTCTTTTATTATATTGTATTTGAAGATAACAACTGATGTTAGTGACTGTCTAACAACAGACACATTTTTTACTTGGTTTTCCTTGAAAAACTAAACTTTATAATTAAGTAACATTAGTTTTATATCAGTTTTTATCTGACGGATATGGCTCATTTTACAGAGACTAAATCTGAACAGCAGTTTAAGTAGATTCTGACGAATGTACTACATGGATGTTAAGTTTATGCATAACAAGGATGATAATATTCAATCGTAAATATCAAACCTATACAGTATATATTAAATGTAAATTAATGAATATACTCAATATTGGAATAGAATAAAACTAGATATGATGCTAGCAAAATCAAAACTTACAATGATTTGCAAAGGCGAACCTAAAAAATATTTTTGATAAAAAAAACCACATAGGGGTGGCACAATTGTACTGTATTGTAAAGATTCCAAAAATGTTTCCGTAATTTCTGATAAGCCGGAAAAGCAAATACAAATGTGAATTGCAGTGTGTTATGATAGAGTATATGTCATGCCATGGTAAACTTTAACAAATGATGTGGCTCATAAATTGGACAATATATTTTGTTGTTGTTCAAAATTATTAATATGTTACTTGTTCGACTATAAGAAAGCCTGCAAACACTTTATCAAGCTTATTTCTTTCTATCAACTCAAACATAATTAACCATTAATTTTTTGTTTACAATGAATCCCTGTTAAGAACAGAATTTATCTATATGCATAGCATGACACTGATGAATGCATTGTGCAATTCTACAAAATGTTGTCATGATATGATAGGCTCGGTAGGGGAACCTTGTAGATAAATCTCCAGTTCAGATTAACAGTCCTTTTTTTGAGCTTTTCATAACGCTTTAGTGTGTCTAATTAAAACAGTTGTCAACTGAGGCACACACATTTTGTTAGCAATAATTTCAGATATATACAGAATACATCAACATGAATAGCATATATGAAGTACGCTTTTTATTAAGAGTTTCTTGCTTCCTTGATTTCTAAAAATATCTTCTTCTATAAACAAAATATAGATTTAATGATTTTAAGCAACATAAATTAGTCATTAAACTTATACGGTTTGTTACTATCATTTTAATAAATGTCTGTGATGTGGCAGTCACTTAAATGATAGATCTGCATGTTTATGATTTGCAAATGTTGCAAATTAAAATACTTTTATACTTGAAGGTCATGTTCTTAATCTTTCATATTCAATACTGAAACATAATGCTGCATAATTCAAGGAGTAAGAGTTCACTTAGCTTGAAACTTTCGTGTACATTTCAAAACGGAATGACAATTTCAGCAGAAAAAACTAGGAAATGCTATTATCAAGGACTCACCATTCATTTTAAATCAGAAACAAGCTTGATGATTATCCTATATACATGTCAGTTTATCTGCACTGAAGATTATAATCATGACTCCCCAAAAAGCTCATCATCTAACAAATTCTATTGGAATTGAACACAGCATAACCGTAAATGATTATTAGAGTATCAGAATAAAAGATTAAATTTCGCATGATTTCGTACAGTTATACAAGTCTTGCAAATAATAGCCAGACATACTAATAATTCCTAACAACAAATTAAATCGAACTGAGGTGACATAAAAAGGAGAAAACTTAATAACATATACTTTTGAACCTACTTTAATCCAATATCCATTGTGTTACTATGGCATGATATGGACGTTATCATATCATCGCATGGTAGTTCACATTTTTATCTGCTTCTATATAAGTCGCCAAAATTTCTATTTTTTTATATTATGTACGGGGTAAATTCAGTAAATAAATATACGTCATAAGGGACCGCACATTTGGGGGCGGGCTTTCTGTATAACACTGAAGTCCTGTACTCTTTCTGTTATTTTGTACTATAGGGTTGAAAAGTAATTGGGGTCAGTATAGGAATTAAGTGCGAATATACAGTGTTTGTAAACAAGTCCATGTGAATGCCCAAAAATGCCGCATGATCCTATGTTTTTTTTGTTGCAAAAGATGAGGTTACATTTGTACTTAAATGAATAATATATCAGAACTTCTGATTTCTAAAAGTAAACCAGGTATAAATTTAATTCAAGACATAGATTTGCGTTAAAGTCAATGGGATATTTTTTACTGAATTTACCCCTATATAGGAAAATATGCACACTGTACTTTTTTCAAGGCCATACAATAATCACCAAGCTCATTTCATGTAGATATCATTGCAATGGAAGCTTTTTGGAATCAGTTAAAGTTGTTTTCATACAAAATTCTATGTTTAACTGAGGCTGACAAGGATGCACTGAGTATACTGTGGGGGGAAGCATGGCGTATATAGGGAAATCAGTGTTGTGTCCTGATTGAAAGAAACAAGTGAAATTACACTTTAGAGTTATAAAATTGATAAAAGACATAAATTACTCCCCATTTTACATCAAATTTTGCACATATTTCTTCTAGTAATGTTGAAAATCATATGCAAAATCAGAATCACCTCCCTCCCTTTGACAAAGTGTATTTTTTAGCAGTGTTCCCCATGTAAAGTTGCAGATCAAATTGTTATTAAGCACTTTTTTCAAGTATTTTATTACTCGAATAATCTGACCGAATGAAGATATTCATTTTTTTTTTACATAATTAATTGTGTTTCTTTAATTAAAAAACATTCTGGACAGCTTTTCAGGATTAGATACCCTTCATCTATGAAACTGGGTTTGAAATGTTTGTACTTGGATTGCTATGTTAAATCATTGCTTCTAAATATTCTAAATTGTTACTTAGAACTCTCAAATGCAAAGTTTGGTCACACCCTGTCTTATTTTTTCATATTTGCCACATTTTTCTTCTTCAGTTTTGGCTGTCAAGTTTTGGCGAAGAACCATCCTGATGTTGGGTAACAGGAATTTCTGAAGAATGTTTGTCATTGACAGTTTTTTAACTTTACAAGTAATTAAAAGACACATTTAGTAAAATGAAACATAATTGTTGTTTTGGGGGTATGAAACTGCTTAAAAAGCCTTTGAAAAGCCTTTGGGGGTATTTTCAGGGTATATAATCAGAAACGTCCATATAAGGCAAAATTTAACTAAAATCCATCAAGACTTCAGTTCTTAGATGTACTTGCAATACTGATCAAAGCAAACACATAAAACAATTCATATTTATTGAGCATAGTATGTTACATCATTCTTTTGAAAACAGTTAATTTGCAACTTTATATACAAAATACACATTGGCTGCAGTATGGGCTGTAGTATAAATTTTCCTTTATCTTAACAAATTCAGCATTAATGAATCTCGTAATGAAACTGGAAGTTGAAAGTTGGATAAATTACATAATCAATACAAAACAAAATAGGAAATGAGAAAAAAAAGTCCATTTGGGGAAGAGCTTTCTGTATAACACTAAAGGACTGTGCTCTTTTGATTGGTAGATAATGTTTGTAATAAATATTTTTTGATAGATGGATCAAAACAAGAGTTGAAAAAAATGAATGCTGAATGCACTTATTTTTTTTACTACAGGATTGAAAAGTAATGGGGGTCAGTACAGGAATTAAGTGCGAATCTACAATGTATGTAAACAAGGCCATGTGAATGCCCAAAAATGCCACATGACCCTACGTTTTTATTGTTGCAAATGATGGTGCTACGTTTGTACTTCAATGAATGATATATGAAAGCTTCTGATTTCTAAAGGTAAACCAGGTATTAATTTAATTAAAGACATATATTTGAATTAAAGTCAATGGGAGTTTTCTTTACTGAATATACGCCTACAGTGATTGTATTTCTACTGTTCGGGTACCTCAAGATAGATACATGTAGTTTTTCTGCAAATTCAGAGGGCTCCTTAAACTTATGTTGACAAAAAGATGTGCCAATATTTCTCCTTTTTTATAATTTATTGTATTTTTAATGGTCTGATAGTTGAGTACTTTGTTTTGCCTCGTAATGAAATATTTGACATAAAAGGATGAATTGTTTGTACTTTTTATACCTCAATATGATTTATTTGACATAGAAAGAAATGAATTTAGGTTTTAAAATTTCAAAGTTATTGTCTGCATCTTCCTCAAATATTATCTACTGGTGTTAAAATTCTGTGGTTTTTGGGTTTGTTTTTTGTTGTTTTTTTTTTGCATCCCTGGATTGAAAGTTTTACACAAATTGAGTGTTCTATATGTCTGTGGTTACTAAAAATTATGTCGACAACCATCAAAAGGGTCAATATTTCTTTTTTTTTATGTAATATTGATGAGCGGGCCTAATTATTGAGTACTTGGTTTTACCTCAAAATGAATTGTTTCACATAAAACAGAAGGAGTTAAGTTAAAAATTGCTAATTATTTTTGTCAGCATCTCCATAAAGTGCCAATATTTTTCCTTTTTGTAAAATAATATGTACTTAAATATAAATTCTGGATGGTTTTACACAAATTTTACCTAATTTCATGTTGACAACAATGGAAAGTGTCAACATCGTTTCTTTTTTTCTATAATATTCATGTAATAGCCTGACAATTGAGTATCTTTTACACCTCGAGCTGAATTGTGTTACATTAAAAGGAAGGAATTAAAGTTTAGAATTTAGAAAATTTGCTGTCAGCATTTGTTTAAGGTGCAAATATTTTCTCATTTTCTAAACCATTATGTACTGCATTGCGACTTTGTTCTTTTGGTTCTTCAAGATGGATAGTTTTACACAAATTGAGAATTGGAAGTCTACGGTTAATAAAATTGATATTGACAACAACGAAAAGTGCCAATATTTCTTCTTTTCTATAATGTTTATGTACTGGCCTGATTATGTTTTAAAATGCGCGACATTTGAATATATTGCGAAAGTATAATTAAATTGCATAATCAACATTGTGGGGACATTGCTTTTGATTGTTGTCTGAGCCGAATAAACAAATTTGACAATCCTGATAAGAATTACAATCCATACCTCATTTAATTTATTTGGATCTATATCTTTTCTTTCAAGTAACAATTGGACTATGGGAAGATGTCCATCTTCAGCAGCTGAGTGTAACGGAGTGTTACCAAACTGTAATTATAATTGAAAGGATTAAATGTTTATAATAATTTATAAACGTACCAACTTGAACGACTTTTTGAACAAATTTTATCAAACAAATCCTTGTCAAAATTTTAAAATGTTTTTCACATCGTATATTTGCATGGAGACTTTTATTTTAGAATTTTTTTGCAAATAGGAGTGAAATCATCAGATAATAGGCAGGGAAGAAAATTACACTGAAATTATTACCATTCAATCTTGTTTTAATGATTCAGTGTCTTGTGTTTCCTAAGCTTAATAAACGAACTTATTCATTTAGAAAATTGATTGAACAGATCCTATAATTAATTGACCGCAGGTGTACAAAGAGTACTGATTTTTTTTTAATATTTGTATATGTCTGGCAACTAACTGATAGACTGGACATGTTCTGCTAATATATTCTTCTTAAAACATCTTGTTTCTGAACATAAGTATAAATAATAAGAAGATGCAATATGAGTGCCAACGAGACTACTCTCCTTCCAAGTCATGTGTAAAAAGTAAACAATTATAGGTCAAAGTACGTCCTTCAACACGGAGCCTTGGCTCATACCAAACAGCAAGCTATAAAGGGCACCAAAATGACTGTTGTAAACCAATTCAAACAGGAAAACCAAGGTCTGAATAGTTTCGACTCAACCGTGCAACAAAAAGAATAAACTTTTAAGACTATCGCTTTAAAGGATAACTGTAGGAAATGTATTGTTTAAATGATATATTAAAAATCAAAATGAATTACATAGATTACATTTATATTGGTAAACAAAATACAAAACACGCATACTTATTTAAGAGTAATGTAATTTATTAAGGCTGAGTAAGTCAAATGAGGTGATACAGATGCATACAGTAGCTTCTCAGTAAGAATGAAAACAGGCTAGCATTAACCTTTATCTTAAAGTTCGCCAGATAAATGATGTCCTCTCATGAAATGATTCAAAGTATGGTTTCTATGTTGACCCCATATATTCCATCGAATTAAGCCAGCAACAATCAACCTATCTATCCCATGAGATTTGAAATAATGGTAACAAAGATAAAGTCAAATCCATTTCATACCTTGATTTACGTGTAAAACTAGACAATTAGGGTTGTTTTCTGCTCTTTGGTAAGGTTGTTGTCTCTTTGACATATTCCCCGTTTCCATTCTCAATTTTATTTTGATTAGGGTCGGTTGACAGAAGTTTACGACAAAAGATATCAAATCAGCTTCACAATTACGATTTTAGCATTAATTTTATGTTTATCAACATTCCAGCAGCGCCCACATGTGAAGAATGTACGTGACATATCTCCCAGATGATAGGATACTCAAGAGCTTGCTTTTTATATCAATATTTCCTTCAGAAAGTGTAGGTGCGACAGCGAAGCTTTTGAACTAAGTATTCAAAGCTATAGGGTCATCCTTTCGAAAGTTTAATGGACGGAAGCATGAGTTGGGCGACCGTTATTGAATATCTGTTATTGTAGAGAGTGTGCTCAATCTCTATTTCAATATTAATTTTTAAATATTATTAATTCTTAACTTTTTTCTAAGCAAAATACCTTTGTCAAGTGTTGTCTCACAAAATAAATGACTAAATTGATTCAGTAAATAATAATTATAGTATTTTAAAAGCAATACAATATTTAACAGGCACAACGATAATGTATAACGGTTTTTGTAACAAGTTTTCATGTTTGAAAAGTAATTACCTAAATACTCAGCTGATGAGCTCGAATTTGTTTTGACCGTTCCAGTTCCCCTTTTTATACGCCTACGAACACATATAATTGCAATTGCGATTAAGAAAATAGGTCGGAAACGTTCAAGGTTAAAAATGTCTATCACTGTCAACACGTACGTAAATATTGACATACATTTGAAAGTAGCACGCTTTCATTCGTCTTGACACCGATTTAGCTATATAAAGCAGGTAAATATTATTTGTTCAGTGTATGTTCACTGGTGTTAATATGTCTTTTGATTGAGTTAAGCTATTTCAATTGATATTTTATAGTGTGTCTTTCTATGTTGTGATGTTACACTAATGTTTCAGATAAGGCTGAAGGTTTGATACCCTTAAAACGTTTAAACCCGCTGCAATTGTTTGCACCTGTGCTAAGTCAGGAATCTGATGTTCAGTAGTTGTCGTTTGTTGATGTGGTTTATAAGTGTTTCTCGTTTCTCGTTTTTTATATAGATTAGACCGTTGGTTTTCCCGTTTGAATGGTTTTACACTAGTAATTTTTGGGGCCCTTTATAGTTTGCTGTTCGGTGTGAGCCAAGGCTCAGTGTTGAAGACTATACTTTGACCTATAATGGTTTACTTTTATAAATTTTGACTTGGATGGAGAGTTTTCTCATTGGCACTCATACCACATCTTCTTATATCTAAATAGCTTTGTTTTGTTTTTTGTTTTGTTTTCGTTTTTGTTATTTTGTGCTATGGCATGGTGCTGTCGGTTTATTTCGCATTATGAGTTTTGATTTCCCTTTAATATTTTCCAACTCTTCTTTTAAAGCAGTTTTTTTTTCTACGGCAACACATTTAGTAAATTGCTATTTTATTATTTTAATGAACTTTCCGCTCTATTTATTCCTTGATTCGCCAAACTGTTTTTTTTTTTGTTGTTTTTTTTTTAATACATTGACACAATTTAATGAAATATGCTTTTTAATTCTAGCTAAACTAGCTATGAAAGTGCTATGCATATAATTTTCAAAGACTTTCAACTCCATTTATTCATTCGCCAAATTCATTTTGAACAATTCAAGAGGAGCAAAATATACATAGTCATTCACTTGTTATAATGAGATATAATTTAAGGCTCAGATTATTATGTACTATTGCACAATGTTGATGCTCTATAAAACCTTAGGACCACCATGTGCACAGATCATTCCTGGAATTTCGCGAAATTTTATTAATTTTTTTATTTACACATTTTTTCACTGAGCTCTTTTGCATCATTAAGTTTTGTTATATCTTAGAATAGAAATAACGGTTCTGTATTTTCTTCTTCAATTTCAATTTGAACACAGCGAAATCGACATAGTGACAAATAAGTGTTTGCATAAAGGTTTCGATACATGTCGATTTACATGGGAGGTAAATAGTAACATTATGTGTACATAATCTGACTCGGCGCTTATACAAAACGAGATTTTATTATAAGAAAAGGCATTTCATTTTAGAATAGTTGATATAACATGCAAATATCATTTATTTTTGTCCCCCGAGAATGTGTTGGTTGCGGGGACATGGAAATATCGGGCGTTCGTCCGTCTGTCCTTCCGTGTGTTCGTCCGTCCGGTCTTCGTAGCGCTCTTACAGGTACAATTCTTCCCAGATTTTTATGAAACTTATACTATAGTTTAATATCAGCAATATCTCGAACAAGTTCTATAATGGTGGCTGATCAACTTTTTTTTCAAAAGAGTTGTGCCCCTTGGAAATATCAAATTTATGGAAAATGGCCTCGTTTGCGCTCTCACGGGTACAATTCTTGCCAATTTTTTTATACAACTTGTACTGTATGTTAATATCAGCAAATCTCGGACAATTTCTATAATGATGGCCGATCGACTTTTTTAAAAAGAGTTATGACCCTTGAAAATATTAATTTTATGGAAAATGGCCTCGTTAGCCCTCTGACGGGTACAATTCTTGTCAGATTTTTAGAAAACTTATACTATGGGTTAATATCAGCAATATCTCGGAAAAGTTCGATAAAGGTGGCAGATCGGCTTTTTTTAAAAGAGTTATGACCCTTGGAAATATTAAATTTATGAAAAATGGCAATGTAGCGCTCTCACAGGTACAATTCTTGATAGATTTTTTTAAAACTTATACTATAATAGGTTAATATCAGCAATATCTCGAAAAAGTTCTATAATGGTGGCCGATCGACTTTTAAAAATAGAGTTGACCCTTGGAAATATTGAATTTATGGAAAATGGCATCGTTAGCGCTCTCACAGGTACAATTGTTGCTAGATTTTTATAAAACTCATACTATAGGTTAATATAAACAATATCTCTAATAAGTTCTATAACGGGTAAAATTGTTTACAATAATTATATATAATAAGTAATGCCCTTGAATGTCCGTTTGAAATATTTAGTATACAATAAAAAAAAAAACTACGCACGCTTTTTATATATTAATTGTTTTTTAGTCTGTGATTTAAATCTTTCTAAGATATCAATAAGGCCTGAATAATAATAACTTTTTCCACTTATTCTTCCTACCTTCATTAGATTTTAGTGCCAACCCTAACATTAATTTTCATTTATAAACAAGCACTAATTTATTTAAAAAACTTTTTGAAAATACATTTCTTTGCATAGCTAATAACCCTATTTTTTCAGCATCATCATATTAGTAGAAACACAGGTATTATTTTTCATGCCTAGTATTTATGGAATTCCATGAAACTTTAATAGAATTTTTGTTCCATTTTGTTTCCATTGGACTTTAAATAGTTACCCTTATTTTCAATTTTCAAAAGCTACTTTTTTCACCTATTCAGGCAAAATGTTGTTTTGACTGTTGCCATGGCAACGCACATTATACAGGGAAAATAAAGACAGAATTTTATTTATCTACCCAAGTTCTTATGACAAAGGGCAAAAACAATTACTTTTTTGACATGTCATGAATCACCCTGCATGATTCTTACAAAGACAGGTACTTAATTGTTTAACACTAAATAATTTTGTACAGTTACTGAAATTCGTGTCGGTATTGATAAGGAGTGTAAATATACTTTCGTTCTGTTAATATTCATAGTTCGCATAGGCAGTGGAAGCAAACTAACAGATCGATCCTCCCTTGACTGTTTGATTATATATTGGTGTCGGATTGTTGACCATTGAATCAAACCAAAGGTTTCTAGTGCTGTATCTGGTTAAGGAATATGATGTCTATATACTTCACAACAGTCAATACGATGTATTTCTTCTCTGCTTGCGTTTCCATATATCTGATAATATTCAGACTGC